TGCTCTGCCTTCTGAATTATTGTACTCTCCAGATCATCAAGCAGGGGATTCGAAATATATTTGTCGCATAAATCCTTGTTGGTTGACAGACTGGGGTTATGGGCTTGAAAAATATCTTTCCTTCCTTCTACTAAGTTGGTCAGCACAACTAAAATAAAACTTGTTCTAGGGTCTGGGGTGTGGAGCTCAGTGGCAGAATACCTGCTTAGCATGCACAGGGCCCAGGGTTCCATCCCCAGCACCAACCAACAAACCAACCAAGAGTTGTTCTAATTTTTTGCCTTTGGGGTCTTGTGTCAGATTTCTTTTTGCAGAGATCTGGATCTAAGACACTTTCCATTTTGTTTGATTCTGAAAGTCATCCCTGGAGGTCAGTAATGTTATTCTTGATTTCAATGGGAGATAAGCAGGTTGGGAAATTTTATGCCTGTCTTGATATTTTAGTTTAAATCATTTAAACTGGAAAAAAAAAAATCCCTGAAAAGGTGTCTGTTCTGAAACCTGGAGAACACTTCCTCTAAGGAGATGGTGATTTATAAGGCTAATCACCCCCCTGGACTCCAGCCGCCTACAGTAAAGTCAGGCAAATTGTACTGCCAATCTGGAATTACAAAAAAAAAAAAAAAAAAAGTTTCTGCCCTCCGGTTCCAAAAGTCAGCACATCTTAGCTTGGTTCATTTCTGAAGTGTCATAAGTTAACAATGATGCTGACAGGGACAGTGTTTTTGCTTGACCAACCGCAGGGACACTTTTTTTCTTTTTTTCTCCAGTTCTAGGGATGAAACCCAGGCTTCCTCACACATGCAAGACAAGTGCTGTACCACTGAACAGTACTCCTAGCCCTGGGACACATTCAAATCACCCAGGGCCAGCCCATCCACAGAAAACAAATTGCCTATAGATATACAGTATGTTATAAAAAGGGAAAATATTGAAAATCCTAGGGAGAGGATATATATTTCTATTCGAGGATTAACATGAGATTCGAAGGCAGCATGTACAAAAAGAATGCTTTTCAGTAGAAAGGAATCATTATGAGTAGAATAAAATATTTGCCAACATGACTCAGTTTCTAGCTGGGTATGGTGGCACATGCTTGTAATCCCAGCTGCTCAGGAGGCTGAGGTGGGAGGATACCACGTTTAAGGCCAGCCTCAGCAACTCAGCGAGACTGTGTCTCAAAAGAAAAAGTAAAATGGGTTGTGGATGTAGCTCAGTGATAGAGCACTCTTATGTTCAATCCCCAGTACCACCAAAAACAACAACAACAACAAAAACCCTTCAGTTTCTGAGGTTGAATTTACACCAAACCATCAAAAATTACATATAAACTGAGTGTCAAGGAAAGAGTAACTCAGTGTCACTAGATTTAACGCCGCCAAGTTTAATTTTCTCTCTACCTATTTATTGAAAAATTGCACTTTGTCAACTGTCTGAACTCTAAGACCAAATACTATCCATATCATGAGACATACATTTTCTTTGAGAGAAAAGAATATATTAAACTCACAGATGATTTGTATGGATTCTTTCAGACTCGCCAACTAGCAAGTCAGTTTTAAAATCTAATATAGAAGAATCTAAGAAATACAGTAAGTAGTCCCTTGTTATCTCAGGGGAATGGGTTTCACTGGCACTCCCACTCCTGTGGACATCAAAATCTGTGGCTATCTGAGTCTCTTATATAAAATGGTCTAGTTTACATATAACCTATGCATATCCTGCTATATAATTTAAATCATCTCTAGATTCCTTATAATACCTAACACAATGTCAAATGCTATATAAATAGTTGTTAAACCATATTGTTTAGGAAAGAAGGACAGGGAAAATAAAAGTACATGTCCAGTACAGGCAAGCAACCACTATGTGCCAGCAATGACACACTTTTTTTTTTTTTTTTTTTTTTTTGATCCCTAGTTATTTGAATCCCAGGATGTGGAAGCTGCAGAATTAGGGCACCAACTATAATATTGATGACAGAGTTAGATAGGACCTCAGCCTTTGCCTCAAGGCTTTTCAAACAACATTCTCAGTGGGGCATCCCCAGCAGACATCCTGAAACGATTTTCCCCAGAAAAATCAAAAGGAAAAAATGTTCCTATCTTCATCATTAGCAATAGCATTCAAAGCATTTCACCAGCCCTTGCCAGTATAATACACTTTTAGTGCCCGAATATATTCAAGCTAACATTGTCTTTTGGATATTTATACCCCAAGATAGGATTTGGTGTAAACGAAGCAGTACCACTTTTTGTGGGGTGATGAGAAAAGAGAACGCTATGGTAATATTATCTTCCCAGGATTTGGGGATTCCAGGATATCATTTTCAAAGCTTCTTTGGGTCCTGCTATATTATCCAACTCAGTTATCTCCATTGAATGGGGTCACGCAAAAGCTCAGGAAAGGACGCACAAATGGGTCACTCCTGATCCACAAGGTAACTATCCAGCTTCTTTCTAGGATAGTCAATGGACAGAAATGCAAAGGAAAGAATGCAACTCAAGAGCAGACCAAAGAAGAGAGCACGAGATGTTAATTCTTATGCAGACTCTAAGCCATTTATGTTTAGTATCTTATAAGAAGTTCCTTCTGCTTGTACTTCAGGTAAGAAGTAGAAATAACCAGCTGACCAGACAATCAAGAAGCCATGCAATGGAATTTCCAGGGGAATCTAATAAACATAGAATTTTCCATGAAAATAAAGGCAGGGATTGGAAAAATGTTCTCAGATAATTACTGATAAGGGATATTTTCATTTAAACAAACCATAATAATGAAAGGTGATGGTGTGCTACATTCCATGATCCAAAAATAGCATGGTAGGTACTTAAATGGGATCCTATAGTACAGGGTTGAAAGAAGTGGGAAGCTGTTGGGAAAAGAATGTGCTAATAGTGGTGCAGTGAGATCTGGTGTGACCCTCCGGTCCCCAGCCCAGAGCATGACCAGATTATCTCTCCTAGAAGACATTCCATTAGTGTAGATGACCTTGCCCATCTCAACCAAACCCATGAATATCCTAAGGAAGAAGGGAGGTGCAGGTTTTAAAAAACTGATCCTTAATCACTATATGAAAGTAAATTTGAAGGGGAAGGAAATGTAACATGTGTCATGTTCCACCAAACACTTTATGTCTTTGGTGGCGGTTGTCAAAGCACTCCAGATCATTCCTGCTCTTTTTGTTTCCTGAGTTGAAGGGCAGGTACTAGTTCTGCCAAGGATGAAATCAAGTGGAAATCTGAGACTAGAGGTCAAATAGAACAGGGAGGAACTGACCTGACCGCAGTACTGCCTCCCACCCCTGGTAAAGGAATCTGGAAATACAAGTTGCCTTGCAACAAGTCCATAACTATATTCTAAAATTACAGATGAAAAATTTAATCTCCATTTTTAGAAGAAAATAGGTTAAAATCTGTTTCATGAAAAAAGCATGGCTATGCAGACTGCCACATGAAACCACCTTTCATGCACACCCTGGGAGCTGACCTAATCTAATGTCGGACCTCCAAAACTCTAAAATTAAAATGTTTTTAAAAATTAACTATTAAAGGGGCTGGGGATGTGGCTCAAGCGGTAGCACGCTCGCCTGGCATGTGTGCATGGGTTCGATCCTCAGCACCACATACAAACAAAGATGTTATGTCTGCCGAAAACTAAAAAATAAATATTAAAATCTCTCTATTTCTCAAAAAAAAAATTAACTATTAAAAATATTTCTTTTTAAATTAACTATTTAAAAAGTGTTTGGGGGTTGGAGGAGTAGTCTAGTGGTTCAGATCTTGCCCTAACATGGTAGGGTCCTGTGAGAGAGAAAGAAAGAAAGAAAGAAAGAGAGAAAGAGAGAGAGAGAGAAAGAGAGAGAGAGAGAGAGAAAGAGAGAGAGAAAGAGAGAGAGAGAGAAAGAAAGAGAGAGAGAGAGAAAGAAAGAAAGAAAGAGAAAGAAAGAAAGAAAGAGAGAGAGAGAAAGAGAGAAAGAAAGAAAGAGAGAAAGAAAGAGAGAGAGAAAGAGAGAGAGAGAAAGAAAGAGAAAGAGAGAGAAAGAAAGAGAGAAAGAAAGAGAGAGAGAGAGAGAGAGAGAGAGAGAGAGAAAGAAAGAAGGAAGGAAGGAAGGAAGGAAGGAAGGAAGGAAGGAAGGAAGGAAGGAAGTTAGTTTGTTTGGATCTAAAGCTGTCTATTCCATAGATTAAATTTGGTGGTTTACAGTGGGGAGCAAAGGGGTGTAGAAGGAATTATTCGCTCTATGAAGTTGGATCTCAGGTGGGAATCGATATGGGGTTCATAAGGTGGGAATGGATATGGGGTTCAGCAAACGCTTTGGATCTGATAGGTATCAGGTGAGACAAGCCTCCCTCCCCACCCCCAACCTTTTATCTAGTTGGTCAGCAGCGTGCGGTTTTCATCATGGGACAAGCATTTCCAGAATAAATACATCAATCAAAAGAAGTGCTGCAAGCCCTCAAAAATCAACATCTTCCTCCTTAATAAAACCACAACCGTTTGGCCAGAGAATGAGGAGAGGCTAATAGGAAGGAAATCTAATGGAATTTTCCCTTTTAAAAAAACGACCAAAAATGTTGTAAAATAAACAGAAAAAGAGAAAGAAGCCCGTCTTTTCAAGATCATTACAACTACTGCCTTAAGATTGCAGAATACCTTGAATATCTTTTTTTTTTTTCTTTCCCCAATGCAAAATGACTTTAAAAGCTTTACACACACACACACACACACCCGCCCCCCTCCCAAGCCTCGAGTCTGGAACCGCCGAGGGTCCGGGGTCGGGGAGACGGCGGGGCCTGGCAGCCGGCAAGGTCAGGGCTCAGCGCTTCCGCAGCCCCCGCCGCGCTCCAGCTGCTCGGGTCCTGGCGGCTCCTGGGCACCGCGGCGAGGATCCGGAAATGGATTCCGGGCAGCCTTCCCGCACACCTCGGTCCACCCCGACCTGGCCAGAGCCCAGCGCTCCAGGTGGCCGCCGCGCTGCGGCCGGAGCTGCCACTTACTGCGAGACCCGGGCTGGCTCCGCGGAGGAAACGCGCCGGGAAGGGGACCCCGCCACTGCTCCGGCGCCGCTGCGCCCCCAGCCAGAGCCCTGGTCGGCTGGCTCACGACATCAGGCGGCGGGCGGGCGACCCAGGCGGCGGCGCCAGCTCCTCTCCGCCTCCTTCCCTCCCCCGCAGCCGCACTCCTGCAGCCCGATTTTTGTCTGAAGGTCAAACCGCTTTATCGCCTGACGCCTGCGGAGCGAGCGGCCCGAGTGGTAAAAGCACGCACGAGGGGGAAAGTCTGCCTCCCGGCTGGGCTCCGAAGGACCTGCGCTCGGTGTCCCCGGTTCCAGAGGGCTCCCGGGCTGGTCATTTCCATTCTGTGCTCAGTCCCAGGGCAGCGAGACATCTGCTTTCCATAAACCTCGAGGCGGAGGCAGATCCCGGATTATAGGTGGCCGGGATCGCACAGCTGATCCCGCACCCGGAGGCCGAGACAGACACGCAAATGGGTGCCCAATTCCAGAAGGATTTCTCCGTCCGATGACTACAGGCTCCGCGGCCGGCCCCCGGGATGCGCCAATCGCAGGCCAGGGGGGCTGGAAAACCGGGTTGGCTCGGTTTTCAGGTCTACTCCTCCTCGGTCCTGTAAACAAGAATGCAAACACTGTCCCTTCAGGGGAAGTGACTTCAGTTGGATGGGGCCGAGAGAGCTGAAAAGGGCCGGCCTCCTTTATGGGACAGCTCATTATTAAAAACAAACGTGACCAAATATAAAAGGAAAAAAAAAAATTCTGGTTTTTATTCCAACAAACAAGTCAGCTATGATGCAATCAGCACTGGAAATAGTGAGATATCACCGTCTCTCTGGGAGTTTATTTTTTACTCAGTGAATTAGTCCTTCCACACTGAGGAGTGCCTTAGGAGTGAAAGTTGGAAAAAGCACCAAGTCTCTACTCCCAAGCGCTTTACAGTCTAGTGGGGCGGGGGCGGGGTACATGGGGGATACCTAAAAGTACTGTGACAGAAATGTGAGAAAGAGATTTTAGATCACACGGAAAACCAAGAACGGCCTCCCAGAGCAGGCTGGCTTTGAGTTTTTGAAGACCGAACAGGTTTGTAGAACAAAGAGAGGCTGGAGAAAGGGCTGTGGGAGGCAGCAGGGGGTGAGAGATCCAGTTACTGAAGGTGACAAAGAGTGAGATCCCCAGGAGCTTGTTTGCTAAGCTATGCACTGTCTCTGGAAATCAGGGGAACTCTCTGAGGGATTTCAGTGGGGCACGTAAGTGACTTGATTGGATGTGTTTGAGAAAGATTATTTCAGAAGGGATATCAAAGGAGGCCAACCTAAGAAGGGAGTGGGAGTGGAGCTCTGGTAGATGGAAAAGACTCCAAAAGAGAAAGAGAACTTTTTTTTTTTTTTTTTTTTTTTTAGGGTTTGATGCCTACAGGGAAGGGAGCAGAGTTGTAGGCTCTCACCCATAACAAAGTACCACAAACTCAGTAGGTTAAACAGAAACTTATTGCCTCATAGTTCTGGGTGCTGGAAGTTTGAGATTAAGGTCCTAGCTCAGCCATGACATTCACTCACCCTGAAAGCTCTAGGAAAGGATCTCTTCCAGGCCTCTCCCCTAGGTTCTTTTAGTTCCTTGGCTCATGGCAATGTGACTCCAATCTTCACATGGGGTTTTCCCTGCACCCTTGTATCCAAATTTCCCTTTTCTAAGATCACCAGTCACGTTGGATTAGGGACCCACCTGCTGCAGAATGGCTTCATTTGAACTAATTGCATCTTCCCTTCCAGTTACTATGACAAAATACTTGAAATAATCAGCTTATTAAAAGGAAAGTTTTATTTGGGCTCATGTTCTGGAGATTTCAGTACACGGTCACTTGGCCCTGTTTCTTTGGGCCTGTAGCAGCACACTACATCATGCATGGTGAAAGAAGCCTGGTCATTTCGTGGTGACCGAGAAGCAAAGAAACAATTCTACCCATAAGATTCACCCAGTGTGAACTGATTGGCATGAGGATGGAGATGAGAAGAAATATCAGCTGTAAGTAAATAGGCAAAGAGAGTTGCTCTGAAAGGAAATAGAAAAAGAAAATTAGAAAGTACAAGAGGGGCTGGGTATAGTGGCTCACACACCTGTAATCCCAGAGGCTCAGGAGGCTGAGGCAGGAGGATCAAGGGTTCAAAGCCAGCCTCAGTAAAAGCAAGGCGCCAAGCAACTCAGTGAGACCCTGTCTTGATACAAAATAGGGATGGGGATGTGGCTCAGTAGTTGAGTGCCCATCAGTTCAATTCCCACTACCAAAAAAAGGAAGTACAAGAGGGGCTGGGTGTGGTGGTGCATGCTTGTAATCCAAGCTACTTGGGAGGTTGAGGCAGGAGGATCTCAAGTTCAAAGCCAGCCTGGGCAACTTAGTTAGACCCTATCTCGAAATAAGAAAGGAATGGGCTGCACGTCAGTGGTAGAGTGTCCCTAGGTTCAATCCCCAGTGAGGATGGGAGTAGGAAGAAAGGAAGGTGACCAACAATTAGGGAAGTAGAAGTGAAATGTTTAAGAAAGGAGTGATTAATATTGTCCAGAGCTTAGAAGGTCAGACAAGATAATGTTTTTTCTAACATTCTGAGAAACTGCCAGACAGTTTTCCAAATCTGCACCATGTGGGAGTTACAGATTTTTTTTTTTTAATTGAACCCAGGGACACTTAATCACTGAGCCACATCCCCAGCTCTTTTTTCTATTTTATTTAGAGACAGCGTCTTGCTAAGTTGCTTAGGATCTTGCTAAATTGCTGAGGCTGGCTTTGAACTTGTGATCCTCCTGCCCAGATTCTTTTTTAAAAAAATTTAATTAATTGATTTATTTATTCTAATTTGTTATACATGACAGCAGAATGCATTTAATTCATAGTGCACAAATGAAGCACAATTGGGCATTTCATTGTGGTTTTGATTTCCCTAATGATGAATAATGTTACGTATCTTTCTCTTGCTTATTGACCATTTGTACACCTTTGTAGAAATGTCTATTGAAATCCTTTGCCCAATTTTCAAAATTTATTTTTAAAATTGTGGTTATATATCCCTACCATAAAATTTATCATTTTGAGTAGTTTTATGTGTCCAGTTCAATCCCATTGAGTAGATTCACATTGCTGAACAACCAACATTCTTTGCCCATTTTTACATTGTCTTTTCATATTTCTCTATTGTGGTTTGAATTGTCCTATTCTAGGTACAAGTCCCTAATCAGATATTTGATTTGCAAATATTTTCCCTCATTCTGTGGGGCGGCCTTTTACTTTCTTATTGGTGTCCTAATATTCTCTAATAAATTCCTTTAATTCTCATACCAACTAGAATAATTTCTATCATCAGTAGCTAAGAATGCTGGCAAATGTGCTGGGGTCTGTTAAATAACATCCTTTTATATTGTTTTCTATCACCTATCTTATATCATATCTTCTATCCAAACTTGCCACTGTACTTTTATTTTTTCTTAAAGTTTTTTTCCATACTATCCGAACATACTATCCGAACTATCCCGAACTATTCCGAATCCCAGCCACATTGTGTATTTCCTGGGCACAGACGCACAACATCAATGGCTGCCATTAATACAGCTATAAGCATAACTTCCAGCAGCCTTCCCTTTATTTTTATTTTTATCACAGTCATATGAGATCTTACTAGTGCAATCAACGCTCTAGTTAATCCTTTGGCTTTGCAAAAACTTGGAACACAAATATTGTATGTTTGATGGAATTAAATATTGTGCAATTTTCCTTTTTTTTTTTTTTTTTTTTGGTATTGGGGGTTGAACTTAGAGGCACTTGACCACTGAACCACATCCCCAGCCCTATTTTATATTTTATTTAGAGATGGGGTTTCACTGAATTGCTAAGTGCCTTACTTTTGTTGAGGCTGAACTCGTGATCCTCCTGCCTCAGCCTCCCCAGCCACTAGAATTATAGGCATGTGCCGCCTCACACTGCTCTTGTGCTATTTTTTTTTTTTTTTTGCTTTATTTTCATCCTTCCTTCCTGTGCTGGGAATCGAACACACAGCCTCATACATACTAGGCGATAGCTCTACCACTGAGCTACACTCCAGGCCTCTCCCCCACTTCTTGAGATAGGGGTCTATGTTGCTCTGACTAGTTGAAAACTCCCGGGCTCAAGTGATTTTCCTGCCTCAGCTCTGTCTGGCTCCTTAATTTAATTTTTTATCCTAAAATAATATTTAAGAGAGTTCTTGATTCTCAACTTTTCTCTCAATGGCCTCATTTGAAGGAGTAGGACCTGACATTGGATTTTGGGACTAATCTCTAGTGTCCAATTTGTGACTGGAAGGATGGAGTTTCTTTGGGATCTAATTTTTAGGAGCTTCTGAAATGGTGAAGAGAGGGAGGATATCCCAGATAAAGACTTCAGGACCCAGGAAGGAGCTACGTAGTATTATTTGAAATATCACAAGTGTAAAGTGAAATCCTTTCCTGGTAGGTTTTTCAGGTGGATTAGGCTTTGTGACCATCACTTTGTATCTTGGATCTACTCCTTCTTTGTAGTCTACTTTTTTGGGGTGGGGATGGGTACTGGGGATTGAATCCAGGGGCACTTAACCACTAAGCTGCATCTCTGGCCCTTTTTAAATTTTTTTAAAATTTAGAAATAGGATCTTACTGAGTTGCTTAGGTCCTTGCTAAATTGCTGAGGCTGGTTTTGAACTTGTGATCACCTGCCTCAGCCTCCTGAACTGGGACTACATGCGTGCACCACTGAGCCTGGCTTGTGGGCTACTTTTAATCTCACTTCCTTGCTCCTATACCTGCACAACAATCTGTAGTTTTATATTAGGGATTAACAGAAAGATGCCTTTATAAAATAGCTGGAAAAGAGCCCGTATTTGTACAGCCACAGATTCAGCCTGTGTTGACTGAGCACACAGGTTACGCACACCACCACCCTGGCACCAAGGGAACCGAGGTACCTTTCCTATAATAAGCAGTTGGATGACTAATGGGGGCGAGGGTCAACACAAACACAATTAACTGTAAGCCTCTCCATAAAAGAGGTACTAAAAACCATTTTGAGGATTCAAAGGAAGAAGAAATCACATTTTTAAAAAATTAGTTTTTGAGGTGCAGGGATGGAGTCCCAGAGTCTCATGCATGCTAAAAATTGCTCTACCATTAAACCACATCCTAGCCCCAACCTTTTTTCTTTAGTAGTAGAAAAGGCTTCTTGGAGAAGGTAGGAAAGGAGAAGTTTGGTGCACAGTCAAAGGAACCATGACCTGTTGCTACACTGGAGAAAAAGCCTGGTGGTGTGAGACTTGTCGATCCCACACTTGCCCAACATACATAATTATCCAGATTGCCCAGGACTGTGAGTCACTAAGATGCTCCTTTTAGGTGCTGGTTTGAGAACCTAACTTCTTCTATGCACTAAGATTAAACTCCATGGTATTCAGTGGCTCCCTCAATTCTACCTAAGCTGTGCTCCCTTGGTTTTGTGATCTCTGCCCCTTCTGAGCCTGGTGTGGCCTCTTCTTCATCTTCCCCAGTCCACATGCTGCCCATCTTTGATTTTGAAGCTCAGCTGGCCGCCCCTGACGCACTGTTTCACTGACAGCACTTCCAGCCCCTGGGTGCTCTGGCT